TTATATGTTTGACCTTAAATCCTTAAATTTTGGTTGAGTTGATTGAGGCCAAGATATTAAAACTTGTGTTGAGTTTTTATAGGTCCGAAATGCCCTAAGCAGCCCTTTGACATTAGAGATTTAGGTTATCTTTCGGTCTTTTTTAGGGGCACTTCACTCACTTGTGTCGCCTTTGGATGATTCCTCTATCTTATAGAGAACACATTTAATTATGAAGTTTACTTTGAGATACAGTGGAGGTTCATCCTTAAATAAAATAAATAAAATAATAAAATCATCAAAGTAATAATTTTTCAAAGTAAATTAATAAACTGAAAATTAAAGAAATAAAAATTAAAAATTACAATAAATATTTCAACTAAAATAAAATTAAAATAAATTCCTAAAAATTTGAAAAATATGAAAATAAAAATAAATTCTCAATAAAAACTTTGAAAATATTTTACTAAAATATTATAATAATAATAAAATTTAATAAATAATTAATTGAAAATTCAAAAAAGAGATTTTTTCAAAGTAAAATTCACAACTTTCCCTTTCATATTAAAACGAATTTAAATATATTTTAATTCAAATTAATTGTTCAAAAATGCAAATTTTTCATAAAAACTTCACCAAAGCACTAAAAACATTAAACATATTTTTCTAATTTTCAAATCAATAAATTTTCAAATTAAATCTAGAAACACCAAAATTTCCACCCACACACCCCTCCACTTCATGGGTCCTTTCAAAATTTCACTCAATCCTTGGGAGCCTTCTATTGACGACTATTTCATACCCAAATCTCATCCAAAGTTTGCTTTTAAATCCACTTGCCAACTCACTCGATTGAAAGCCATTTGAAGCATTTGATACCATTTGGAGCCACTTTAGAAAGACACTTGTGAAGTCGGCTCCAAGTCACTTTTTCAAATCCATTTGCTCTAGTCCAACCTCCCCACTTTGCTGAAATTTTTAAGTTATGCATATTCTTCCTTCCAAGCTAATTTGGAACCAAATTAGAATTCCCTCCAAGCCATTGGAGCCACTGTAGAGCCTTCTTCCATGAAGCCTCATTTTTGCTCCAACCTCTTTCCCACATGGTAATATTCCATTGGCTAATTTTGAATCTTCCATAAATAAAACCTAACCAAACTAACAGCCCATGAGTGAGGAGAACCAAACCCAAACCACCTTGAATCTTCAATGCAAGCCACCCATTTTTTTAAAAGTCCACATGGCATCATAAAAAAGGTGATTGTTCCCTGAAAATCCTTTAGCACACTAGAAACACTTCCCCGCTATTTCCATGGCTTATCACCATAGAATTCTTTAACTTGAAGACAAGACTTGCTTGATATTCATTGTTAATAGCTCAACTCTCAAATCCAACCAGCCTAAAACATTCCATGAGCAAAAAACCCACTACCCAAGGATTGAGCTCGCTATACCAGAATTCAACCGAGGATTGATCGTGTTTGGCCAAATTCTTATAAGAAGGTTTTGAAGCTTGCAATTACTACTTGGAGCATGTGGATTGGATATATAAACATATACCCTCCTTAAAAAATTTGAATAACTTTTTCTAGAAAAGTCAAAATTGAATGAAATTTTCACTCATAAGTGAATTAAACTAAAAGGAATTTAGATATACAAAACTCATTTCAATTTAATAACTTTTAATAATTCGCAATTAATAAATATAGTAATAAATTCAATAATTTATGGAAAATTCAAAATGAACATAGAATAACTTGAGAAAATTTGATGTTGTTTGGAATGATGCTCTAAATATCTCTGAATGATTTATGTTATAGATTATTTGGATTTATTATAAATTTTTGAATAAAAATAAAAAAATTTCAAAGAATTCTAATAAATCAAATAAGATTAAAAATTCACCAAAATTTTACAGAAAATCTTTTAACTCAATTTGAAACTCCAAAAATAATTTTAAGATATTTGACGTCAACAAAACTAAAATATCAAAAGCCCTAAAAATCATAAATTGACAACAAAATAATTCATAAAATTCCACAAAATATTAAAAATTTCTTAAAAACTATATATTTGAGTTTATAAGATCAATATTCACTTGTCTAAGTGATTTACAGGATTTTATAAGCTTTAATAATATTAAGTCTTGATATATTACTTCAAAAGAATATAAATAAGATTTATTTCAAAAATTCAACAAAAACTAAAAAAATTCAATAAAAGTTCATAAAATCAATGAAAATTAATAAAATTCAAACAAACTTAATAAGAATCTTTTGTTCAATAAAAATCAAACCCAATATCATATTTAAAAAAGTTGAGCAAAAGAGTCTCTTTTTGGCCCATTCCATTTTTTCACACCTAACTCTAGACATCACAAGACACACACATATATATGTCATAGGAGCAAATATATATGTTATGTTTGTGTTCTCCACGGTACAAATGTTTGATTAGAGCGAATTATTTTTGCTAGTAAGAATGTTTAGAATGAGCAAATAATAACATTTTTGCATTCATATACCTGCTAGTTTAGGTCGGACTATTTTTTTGCATACTTCTAAGTTGTTGTAAGTGAACTAAGGATATGCTAATTTGTTTTTGCAGAGTTGTTATAGTAACCTAGGGCTTATTTAAGCTAGGTTGCTATAAATTCATAGGCTTTTCCTTCTTGTTTGATATTTTTCTTTTGTAAAGTTAGGGTGTCTGCATAGTTAGTCAATTACGGACAGCCGGATGATCCATAAGAGGATGAACAAAACATGAAGGATGAACCTTAACTAATGACAACAATCTTCAGATGTCAAGTTTAGACTAACAAGTCTATCGTGGGTCTACGGTTGGCACCCTTAGTTGCGCATTTGTTTTCTTATTTTGTTATATACGATAGGTCTGACCAAACTTCAGGGTGTTGTGCTTTTGTAAGCTTTTTGCTTGAATTTTCGGTAGGCTCTATAAGAACTAAATTTTCTATCAACACCAAACAATTGCAACATAATTTTTCGAAACAAAATGAAACTCATAATCCAAATAAAAAAGCTTAAAGACATTGCATTCACATCTTAGTACATCATGCACATCAATAAACAACAACCTTTATCTCATTAAGTGGGGTCGGCCACATGAATCCTTTTTCTCCATTGCGTCCTATTGAGTTTCATATTTTCACTTAATTCTAATAAATTAAGATCATTTTTTATGCAATATGCCCAATTCTTTTTAGGCCCACCTTTGTCTTTCTTAACATGGGTCGAGTCTAAAACTTCTACTCTCTTAAACAGATCATCAGATGGTCGACGTTTAATTCAACCAAATCATCTAAGACGACTCTCTCAAATCTTGTGTGCCACTGGAGCTACACTAACCCAATCACATATAAGTTTATTTCACATTTTGTCTCTGAGTGTCACGCCACTCATCCACCTAAGCATTTTCTTCTCAGCAACACTTGTTGTATGCTTCTCTTTTAAAGGCCATAATGCTACACCATAGAACACTACAGGTCTCACCACCATCTTACAAAATTTTGCTTTTAGTCTAAGCAGTACTTTTTTTATCACGCAATAAGTCTGATGCATTCCTCCACTTCAACTAAGTAACTCGAATTGTAGTAATAACATCAACATCACTTTGAATAATAGACCAGAGATATCCAAAATGTTCACAGCTTTTTAATGATTTGATCACCCATAGTTACAGCCCTGCCACTAGAGCTATTATTACTAAAATTACCAAGTCCCAAGCTCGGATGTGAAAAGTAGAGGGTTGCGTTAGGTAGTCGACAACCAACATAAAATTTGTTGAAAAATCATGACATGAATCATTTAGTGCATCATGCACATAAAAAAAACAAAATTGACAATTAAATAAAATAGATGAGGAACCACTTTACAAATTAGGAATAGTCACGAAATGATCACTAATGGAATATAGTTTCTTTTCCTTATTTTTAGGTCTTAACTCATTGCATGAAAATGAGTGATTTGGCCCATGAGAATCACTAACTTATAGAGTGAGTTATACATCTGCATATGAATTGGATTTTAGAACAAATCTTTTGTGCATTCATCATCAAAGACGTGCATTTCTACTCGCAGTTTGGTATTGATGAATTACACTGAGATTTAACCCAATAATAATAAAATACATCTGAGTTTGCTGAGCTATAAAATCTAAATTTAAATTACAAAAATAAACTCTCATTAATCTTAAGATATTTTGCTTATCATTCATACTTAAACAACTTGTTTTTTTTACGATCAAGTTGTAAGACCTATTTTTTTAATAAACATGGCCTTTATGGTTTTAAAATGCATTTAGGAGGCTTAGATGGCAGCCCTTTCCAAGTAGGGTTGTAAGTCAATTTTATTTTTTTTGCTGGTGCACTTCTTTTCTTTGGACCGGGCTCTGATGTTTCACTTTTTTCAGTAAACATCCCTTTTAATCTTAGAATTCTAAGATCTTTCATTAAGTACAACATAAATCCTCACTTTCCTAGGCTTTCTCACAATCTTATATCGTGAGATATAAGTCATAAATTTCTAAATAAAAGTTTAGATATGAAATATCAAATTAATTTTTCTTTCAAATATGTAAATCTAAACCATAGGATTGTTGAGATGTCATTAAAGTTTTCTCGGCATCTTCGACATCTACATTTCTCTTCTTTGTGTTCCAAAATAGTTGTTCCACATTGTATTTTTCCCGTTTGATTTTTTACAATTAATCGTGAAAATTAAATTTTGAATTCCTTGAAGACAAAACATCAATAATAGAGAATTTCCTAAAGTGATTTTGATCTCTTAAGATGTAATTAGCTATAGGGACTTGCGCCTATAAGAAATTAGTAACCCAGATAATCTTAAACCTCATCTAATCTTCAGATTATATAGAGCAAAAAATCAACTGGTATTTTCACAGACCAAGCAAATATTCTAATTTTTTAAGTTTGAACAATTGAATTCATTATTAAGTGATATTTTTATCTTTCGAGATGACATATTACTTGTAATGTCGTGTTTGATTATTTAAGCTATTACATATGAACTTACAGTAGGCAATTAAAATCCCAACAAAATTCATGGTTTCTCATCTTCTTTTCCTCGTGCTATGTGTCTCTGGTCTCTGCGCATCTCCCACCTTCTTGTAAAGCTTCTTCTAGTCGCAACCTATTCTCAGCCAAGACATCAAGCCAAATTTAGAGGAGACGACTGTAAAAAAAATAATAAAAACCAATATATATAAAGAACTTTTGTTTCAAATCAACAAAAGATTAAACATGTTTCTAGTCAACACGCCACTTAACAAGAACCCGTTTCATTTCTGATTGAGAGTTGCCTCCCAATGGATATATCCCGCTTTTTTACTGCCTTGAAGTTTGCTTTTCTAATCATTTTACAGGTTTCAAAAAACTCAAAACCACCACTTCAAACTCACTTGGAATCATAATAAACTTCCTAATCATCTTTGATCCCCCTATCATTTTGGACACAAAATCTCATCTCTTTATCAACCAATGCTGCAAGATCATATCTACCAGCTTCCTTATAACCACATATCAAGGCCTTGTAAAGAGATTCAGCAATACTTCAACAGGCCATAAATCCTCTTCAACCCTTCAATCATTCCTGCCTTGCCATAACAGCTTGCCAAATGGACGTACGTCACCATGTCTGGCCTAAGACCATCATCCTGCATTTTCATGTAAGCATTCAAGGCTTTATCAACCTCCCCAGCTTCTCCAAAAGCTCCAATGGCAGCATTGTACGCAAAGGGCTCAAGTTCCACCCCAAAATATACAAATGCTTCACATAGATTTAGTGCAAAAGTATGCAGACCTACAGTTGAAAAAAATGAAGTTTTTACAGCCTCTCTAGCATAAGGTTTTTCTTCAATATATGAAGATTCCAGCTGAAAAATCGCCTCGGGTGGAAATCCTCCCTTCTTCAACACAGTAAAAAGAATTTTAAATGTCAAAGCATCAGGTAGGATTTTTTCCATCAGCATTTCGTGCAATAACTCGCCGCAATCTTTGAGCTTTCCGATGACTGCATATGAAGCCATAACGTTGTTAAATGAAGTGCAGTTTTTAACCAAACCAGATTGCTGCATCTTTTTAGCAATATCAGTAGCCTCTTCTAACATACCCATGCTTTTATAAAGATACATCATTGTTGCATAAGAAACCTCATCTGCTCGATTTTTTATTATCATGTCATCAAAAATCAATTTTGCTTCGTTCACCATTCCTAGACCAGCATACAAATTGATCATGCAATTTGAGGCAATGACATCTGGACCATCTTCCATGTTCTTTATCTTTCCATACAAATCCTGAGCTTCTTTCCAGCAGCCAACCTTGCCATAAGCTTTGATTAACGAAGTGAGGACTATATGATTGGCCTTCAATCCAGATTTTTCCATGATGTTACAATATTCCAATGCCTCCCCTATTCTCCCAGATTCAGCGAAACCATCCACCAACGAACCATAAACGAATTCGTTAGGGTCAACACCACATTCTATCATGTCTTTGTAGATCTCAACAGCATTGGAAAGTAAACCCGTTCGACAATAACCAGTAAGAACGGCACAAAAAGACTCACATCGAGGAACGAAACCTAACTTTCTCATTTGGTTTAGTAAATCCATTGCCCTGTCTGGCGAATCACCACCAGAAAGCATCTGAATGAGTGAATTATATGTGCAATCATCAGGCCAGGGTCCGCTACGTTGCATCATTTCAAAGAGCTCTAAAGCTTTATCATACAGCTTAGCCTTCCCATACGCCTTAATCATAACATTATATTCAACAACATCCTTGTTACAGCCTACCTTCTTCGTCGCCAAGAAGATTTCCTCGGCTTCCTTCCAAAAGCCTTTCTCTGCAAACAAATCAGTTATAGCAGCACAATTCTTGGAGGAAATGTCTCCACCATAGCAATGCATCTCAAAGAAAATGAATGCCTTGTCGAGCAATCCTTCGGCAATGTACATCTTCATAACGACAGGCAGTGATTGCTCATCAACAGTAGAGCCTAATTCCATTATTTCCTCAATCACATCCTCAACTTCAGAAATCATCTTCTTTTCACACAAAATTTGTAAGATTATTCTGAAACTTGCAGCATCAGGATGAAGGCCAGACTCTTTCATCTTTCTGTAACACCTCAATACATTGTCAGCATCTCCATTTGAAGCATGGTAAGTCATAAATATGTTGAATGTTTTAGTATCAGAGTAGATTCTCCTCTCTTCCATTTTAATCAGTAAAGCCTCCGCCTCCAGCAAATGCCCATGGGAACAGCAAATGTTTATCATGGTGTTAAACGTGAGAATATCTGGCATCACCCCAGACTGCAACATCTGAAGGAATGCGTCTGAAGCATCCTTCAATCTTCCAGCTTTCCCATATAGATCTATCAAGGTGTTATAAGTGGCTGCGCGTCTGGGTTTCTGTGGACCTCGAGCCAAATCTGAAGAAATCTGAGAAACGGGAGCACGTCCACCTGATTTAAACAATTCTGTCAGCAGAAAATGCTTGGAGCTAAACACAGTGGAGTCAGCCAAGCCATCATGACTAAGATCAAGACAATCCAGTTCAACTTTTCCAGCACACCAACCTTTGAATAACCTTTCACCGATATCAAACTGCCCGGACCCTTTCAAAACCTGAATAGCAGTGTTTATGGTGACCTCATCAGGGAAAACACCTCTAGATTTCATGTGCCTGAGCCACAAAAGAGCTTCCTTTACAAGGCCGGCCTTTCCATAAACATCTATTAGGGTTGCATATGTGTTGTTAGTAGGAAAAACTCCATCTTTGGCCATTTGAATCCAACAGAGGCGGAGCTCGTCCCACCTCAGGGCCTTTCCGAGTGAGCGGAGGATAATATTATAGTGAATTGGGTTCGGAGAGTAGTCCTTAGCGGACTTCATCCGCCGGAAAAGGTTAAGGGATCGCTTCCAGTCCTTCTGCTTTTTGAGAAGGATGGTTTGCAACTTGGGGCTAAGACTGCTCACAAGAGAATCTATTGTTTCGTCAGGGAAGTCATGGTCTATTTTAGATGCTAGGGTTTTGAGAATAGAAAGAAAGGAGGCTCCGTCCCGATTCTTAGGAGCTGGGGGCGTAGAAAAAGGGAAACATTGAAGCTTTAACAATGGAGAAACCCTGGAAGAAGGAAGCGGAATTGAAAAGAGAGAGTTTTTACTGGAAGGGATGGAGGGGATGTAATCTCGGAGATAAGGCTGCTGTTTATAGCTTCCATTTTCCGGCCATGCGCCGCCGTAGTTGCAGCAGTGGAGTTTCATCAGCGAAGGTAATAAGCGGCGAGTAGGGCGAAGGTGTAAGGCTGTTTGCGAAGTACGAGTGCGTTTGTTTGACTTCTCGACTTGTGTTCCGAACCAAGATGCCTTCCCCAGCGTTTGAATAACGCCTTCCACAGCGCGAACGAAAAAGGGGGACTTTAGGAGAAGGACCGGCCGCCAACACTCTTATGTCAAAACTTGAAAATTCGTCGTGTTTAAATGCGAGTGCAGGGATTTATTCAGGAACGTTCTGTGTAATTCAAATGAGGTCGTAGACTCGATCGTCTCAAGAGGAACATGTTGGTCTTTATTTTCTGCTATTCCCCTTGCCCGGAGTGCAAGGATTTATTTAGGAACATTCTGTGTAATTCAAATGAGGTCTTAGGGTCCGTTTGGGGGGCTTGTGCATTTCAGGATAAGCTGTTTATCTTGAAATGCGGCCCGCGGGCCGGTTGCAGGGGTCGACTCGCGACCTGCGTTTAGTTTAAAAACTCAAACGCAGTCTCGAATAAGCTGGCGAAACACGCAAACCAAACGGTACCCGCACTATAAGCTGCCCCAAACAGACCCTAAGTCTTGACCGTCTCAAGAGGAACATGTTGGCCTTTCCGCACTATAAGCTGTCCCAAACAGACCCTTAGTCTTGACCGTCTCAAGAGGAACATGTTGGCCTTTATTTTTTGCGATTGCCCTTGCCCGGTGCTTGGCTCAATTTCGCCTCCCGAGATAAAAATTGTCTCGTCTTCAAGCAATCTTTGCTCCTCTTCTTTTGCATTTACCATCTTTCATTTTGATTGATCGGATGGTTGTCGATTGTCCCATTTTTATTGTTAATCTAATACATGCTTTTGATCTTCAATTGTTAGAAAACTATTACAAAACTATAAATTTCATATTTCTCCAAATTTCACCAAATTCCCCACATTGCTTACCCTTTCCTAAGTAAAACTTATGTTTAGATCAATTTTGCTCTATATTCCTCCAGAAAATCCTCATAGCTACATTTCATAATTCGAGACTCTTGTTTGTTGAGTTCTACATGTTTCTAATTGATCCAGAGCATGTAATGTATTGTGAGTTATTTGTGCTTGGAACACGGAATTTCTAGCTTTATGGTGGAATGTTGTAAGATTTTCAGTTTGTAAACTTGAGCATAAGTTTGGATATTCATTTTTTGTGGCATCTATGATATCTTTTCTTGAGTTTTTATCACTAGCAGAAGTCGTATTAGCACCAACTTCCATTTGTGAGTTAGCTTTCTTATCAGAACACATGAATCAATATTAGTTGTAGTTTTGAAAGATGACAATATTTTATGAAGACAGGTGAATTCAACCACACTTCCTTCTAATTCACAGTATTTTATGCTCATAACCTTAAAGGCATTAGTACTGATTATTTCACATTGACCAGTAATTTTTAAAAAATTTCTTTAAATGAATTTATGTATTAAAAAAAGAATATTTACATACATGCCACTCAATTCCTATGTACTTACATGCTTAACACCTAAATTTTAATTTCTACAGATATGTCACTTGAGAAGAAATTTTACTTTTTTTAAAATTAAGACAGTGGTATTGCCGTCTTAGCTCAATATTTGGAAATTTTACTAAACAGAATAATTTTTAGAAAAAAAGCGTAATTTCTAAAATGTAGTCTTTTCTTTATTCTAAATTTAATTTTGAATTTTGTTTTTTATTCCTACTTATTTAGGTAACACTGTTAAAAAAAGAATTATATACATTGAAATACCTATATATTTTAAATATTATCTATTGAGAGTATTACAAACATTTGTCCACAGATAGCACTTTTAAAATTGTATTTTCAAATAGACTAACTGTTTCTGAAATACAAGCTTCTGAACATCAATTACAACTTTTGAATTGAGATTTTGTATAGTCACAACCAAAACAAATGCACCCTAAAGAAGAGAAAGCGAACTTCAGCGAAATTTGTGATGGGTTGTTAAATTGGAAGATTAAAGTTGATATTTTATTTGGGACTTTGATTAAATTCTCTTGGAAATTTAATAGCACCAAACTCTTATGCATTTATTTATCTCATATTAAAGTTTTGATTTTTTGCAAACTAAGTATCATTTCCTATGTATAAATGATGTATAAAAAGGTAGATTATATTATTTATATAGATAAGGTGCTTTGGATATAAAAATCAAAGTTTCGGTGCGAGATAAATAAATGCATAAGAATTGGGTGTTATGTATGTAGATTCCCCAATTTTGTATATAATTTCTTGAGTCGCAAAACTTTCTTTTAATAGAAGCCGTATTTTCTTTAAATTGAAATGAAAAAATGACTGACATTTTCTGCTTCCAAAAATTTTTATCATAAAAATCTTTCTGACGTTCACAATGAAATTTATGTTGTTTAATCTATTGAGATATTGTTGAATTCAAAAGTGTACAATCATGTCCAAGAAATAGAGCGTAGGGACTGAGCAATAGTAAGAGGAAGAGAGAGGGAGATTGAGAGAGAGACACTTACCTCGTAAAGGCGAATGAGATATTCTTAGGTTATTCGACCCTATTTATTTCACTAAAGATTTGAGTTACAAGAGACGGGAAGAGGTGAGAGTTCTGCCTACATGACGAGTTGAGAGAGAAGAGCCCAAAAATCCTCAATACATGTCGTGGTTATTCTATTTATAGAACATAAAAGAAGATAATACTATACTACATAACTACCCTTGTTTTAAAGAGAGTAGTACAGAATATTCTATTCTTCTTTTTTGAATCATTGGTTTGTTTTGAGATTCATGCACATCATTTTTGGGTATACATATTTAATTTTCTGATTTTTTTTACTCCTTAATAGAGACAAATGCGATAAAGATACAAAATTTATAAAGCAAAAAAAAAAGATTACAAAAACCACTGATGATAATCTCTATTAGGCACTTTTTTGCACTATGTTGTGTCATTTTTTTGTGCCATCTTGCTTGCTCTAAATCATTTTGCTCTAAACCCACTCCTTTGGTACTTGATCCTTGGTGGTGTGATATCCGCTCCGAATCATTTTCAATTACCTCTCGCAGAGCTTGTCAATGTCAAGTAGGGGATCATCTCTGAGAATGAGCACAATTCATATATGTAAGTAGACGGATAGACTAAACAATCTTGGCTTCTGGACTGACAATTTTTATTTAGTCAGGTGGCTTAGAGGATCGACTGGACAATCTTGGCATCTTGATCGACCTCAAAACTATTTAGATGTATATCTAGGGTGGTGAAGCTAGGCTATAAACCTTCATTCGTGCGGGTCATGGTCGCTTGATTGGACATCCATCTTAGGTTGGGTCCCCTCTCTATGGGAGGAGGTTGCCTAAACTTCTCTCCAGAATGATTGTTGACGTATCCTTCATGGAACATATCACTATTGAGAATGAAACCATTTCCAGATTTTTGTCCAACCCAAGCTATGAGACTTGAGTTTATGGTGAGAAAAGCTCTCTGGATAGTCCTTATTACCGATTGGGCTTCTATGTCATTAGTGTCGATAGTATTTAGTTATACCTTTAATTTATGGCCGTCCTTGATATCGTTGTCAGTCGTATTTCTTTATGCCTCAAGCATTCTTGGCATTTCTGTTAGTTTTGTTACTAGGATTCGAGTTCCTCGAGTGTTGGCATAAATTGTATTAGATACAAAAAAAGGAATTCAAGAACTAATTGTTTTAAATTCCTGCATGCAAGGACTAGTTATTGAATTTATTTGAAATACTAAATATAAGAAAGTTTTCAGCTGCAATCACATTATATTTCGTCGAGTCATAAAAATAAGTTTTTTACAGCTTGATGAAATGGATTACTTTTTTTAATCACACCTCCTTGAGGAAATGGATTACTTCGTTGATATGTTTTGGTAAATGACAAGCGTTAGGTGAATATATATACACACACACACACACAATCATGCATGCATCCATATACATGCAAGCAAACATATATGATCCATTGGAGTCTTGCTGGAGTTTTAAGCCTGTATAATCTTGTACGCAAATCTTAGAAGGAACCTTTGCTCTATTGATAAAAACAATATGACATCTTCCTGTATTAAAGGTCATGCCAGAGCAGTCTTGAAAATGCTACAAACATTTGAGAAAAGCTTTACATGCAGGTCTGGTGGCATTAGAAAAAAACCACAACATCATCTATATAAGCCAGATGGGTGACTCACCAAAAGAAAATATGTTGAGATTTTCATACATATTTTATACTGTTTTTGATGATATTGCACTTTAAAGAAATGTATTTTTGATGTTTTGTTGCAGGAATGATGAAATAGGGTCATTGGAGCAAAAAGATGCAAAAAGAGCGAATTTGGAGCGAAAAGGGCCAAAATGTGAAGAATTGAACTAGTTTAAAGTGCAATTCTTCACATTTTGGAGAATGCGACGGCATCATTAAGAAGCCGACGGCGAGATTTTCCCGAGACTCCAGAATTAAACTGTTTAAAGACCAAAATGCGACGGCATCATCGACCCCGTCGACGCCGACGGCGAGATTTTCCCGAGACTCCAGAATTAATTCATTAAGAAGGTCCGTCGACGGCGCCCTCAAGGTCGTCGACGGCGAGCTCGGAGGTTATGACCAACTAGGCTTTGGATGAGGACAAATTTTGAAGGGATGCTTAGGCAATTCTTGGGGAAGCTCATCCACAACTTTAAAAGAAGATTTTGGACAAAAATTGAGAAGAGGCTAGAGGTCTGGGAGGTTAGATAGGTTCCATTATTTTATAGAGAATTTACTAGAATGTCAAAATTGTGAGGAATTCTTCGAGAGATTGTAAGAGTGGAGGGAAGGTGAGAGATTTCTTCCTCCTTGCTGCTTCGAAGAGGAATTCTGTGTGTTTTAAAGAAAGAAAGAGATTTAGAGGAACTTCGAGGAGTTTTCTTGGGGAGAAATTAGAGAAAAGTTTATTTATTGTTGTAGTTTATATGACTTTGATTTTATATATGAATTTCGAGTTTTGTTCCGTTTTCCCCATGAGATCTGAGTAATTTTCTCTATCTTTCTCCTTGTGTTGAGATTTGTGGAATGGTGATTTGAATTGGTTGAGTCACGAAAATGTTAAAAAAATTGTGTGATCTTTTCACTTCGATCTTAATTTATTTTCAATCTGGCCAATTGATTTGTTAAAATAAGTTGAGTT